CCTGGATGTTCCACCCTGGAGCCATCTGGCAGAGGTCTCCAGGAAAGGACAGGACACATCTTTGATGGCTTTCCTATGGCTTTTGGGCACCTCATCCCAACTCCTTGCACCATTTCTGTTCATATGTTCCATCTGGGATGTACCCCCATCTGGGACGTTCCACCCATCCTTGGTGCCTCATCCTGAATTTCCCTGATTGTTCCACCCTGGAGCCACCTGGCAGAAGTCTCCAGGGAAGGACAGGACACATCCTGATGACCTTCCTATGGCTTTGGGGCATCTCATCCCCACTCCATGACCTGTTTCTGGTCAGTGTCACAGCCCTGGGTGTCCCATCCTGGAGCCATCTGGTAGAGGGTCTCCAGGAAAGGACAGGACACATCCTGGTGGTTTTCCTATGGCTTTTGGGCACCTCTTCCCAACTCCCTGACTTATTTCTGCTCAGAGAAGGGTTTGGAGAGGCTGGAGAGGTTCATGTCTCCATGGTGGTGGTGACACAGAAGCCAGCAATGTGACAGGAGTCCGATTTTCCTTCTTTCCACACAGGGAATGCGATATGGAGCTGCTGCAAGAGGAGTTGGACAGGATGGAGATGAGCTGCCTGCAGAATGAGAGGCACCCAAAAGGTGGGATCTGTGGTGGCTGTGGGACAAGGATCCAAAGTCCTGACATGTCCCTATCTTGTGCTGGGACATGTGTGTTATCCCAGTGTCCCCAAGCTCTGCCAGGGCATGTGCCACCACCCCAGAGTGTCCCCATCCTCCACCTCGGAGGGTATCTCCACCCCTGCCTTGTTCTTGCAGAGCCTTCACACCTGGAGCAGCCCCAAGAGGTGGCCAGGGACATTCCCAAATTCACAGGGCAGGTGTCACCTGACCCCGATGGCCAGAGGACAACGCCGAGCTCGTGTGGGGTAAGGTGCTGGGTGGGATGTCCCCATGTTGGTGTTGTCCCCCAAAATCTGCTCTTGGGTACCACCTGGGTCTCACTGAGGGTCAGGTCCTCCAAGGTTGGGGTGTCCTCACTGTGGTGGCACCTCAGCATGGGGCAGACAGACAGGGCTGGGGACATGACATACAGGGAGGAATTTGGGGTGGAAGAGGGTGTCCTGAAGGATGGCCAAGGCACCCCAGGGGACAAGGGACATCTGCAGGAACCCCCTTCTTCCCAAACCAGGTGACACCAGAGCCAGTCATGGATGCTGGGAAGCTCCTGGAGCCCAAAGCCTGCAGCCCAAGGGCCAACACGTGAGCACCAACCACCCAGAATGTCCCTTCTGCATGGCCTGGTGTCACCTCAGGGGGACACCAAGGTGCTGGTGGCTTCCTGGGGTGCTGATTGGTGTCTCCTCTGTAGGTCCCCGTGCCAGGGCCTCACCAGGGCTGGGCAGCGGTGCCGGAAGAAAGCGATTCCCGGGCTGGAATTCTGCCACATCCACACCACCAGCAGTAGCTCGGCCATGGATTCATCCCCCCGTTTTTGACCCTCTACCCCCTCCCTGAGAGGTTTTAACCCTTTTTATGGCTGTCCCAGATCCTGGTGGAGAACATGGACCCAAGGATGCCACTGGATGTGGGTACAGGGCAGATGTTCATTAACCCACCAGTTTTATGCTATTTGCATATATTTTAA